TGACTGACAAAGGAACCCAAACTGTTCCAAAAGGGTGGAAGGCGGATGACCACCATTAACTTTTCTTGTATAAGTTTTTACCCTCCATCTTTCCAATTGCTTTATTGTTGTGACATACACCAAAAGGGAAAGTGAACGACAACAGTCTTAACACTAGTTTTAAATTCAGAGCAAACAAAGCCACCTTAGAGGATCCTGAAGCACAGTTAGTATTAAATGTTCTTTTTAAAAAGTCCTGTCTGTATTTAATTTTGCACGCTGCTTTTTTACAATTTCTTTCAGAATGCGATATACAGTGGTACCTCGGGTTAAGTACTTAATTCGTTCCGGAGGTCTGTTCTTAACCTGAGGTACCACTTTAGCTAATGGGGCTTTCCGCTGCCGCCTCGTGATTTCTGTTCTCATCCTGAAGCAAAGTTCTTAACCTGAGGTACTATTTCTGGGTTAGCGGAGTCTGTAACCTGAAGCGTATGTAACCTGAGGTACCACTGTAACTTGTTTGCCATCGCCACTGTTTCAATAGCCCTTCAAACAGCTGTTTTCAAAGGAAGGTCTCACATTTGAGCTTAAAAAAAACAGGTTTTCTGAAACAGGAAGTCTTTGAGAATCACTGAAAGGGTCATGCTTCATTTCCAGTGGGATGAAGAGCCACAGCTCACTGGTACAGCGTCTGCTTTACATGCAGAAGGTCCCTCATCCATCCCTGGTAGCATCTCCAGGGAAGGCTGAGAAACGCTTCTTGCCTGAAACCCTGGAGAGCTGCTGCCAAACAGTGTAGACAATACTGAACTAGACAGACCAATAGCCTACACTGGTATAAGGCAGCTTCCTATGTCCCTACCTTTCTAAGTGGGCCTTGAGAAGACCTCTCCTGAAGATCATATTCTTATATGAAGTCTCTGTACCATCAGGCGCAAACAATGGGTGGGTTTAAATCAGGGATTGGGAACCTGGAGCCCTCCAGATGTTATTGGACTCCAGTTGCAGCCAGTACAGCCAATGGTCAGGGATGGTGGAAGCTGTAGTCCAACAACCTCTGGAAGGTACCACGTTGGCTATCACAATGTAAACCTAAGCTGATCAACCAGTTGTGACAAGAGGACATTTTACAATGGTTTTCGTCAAATTCCCATAAACCTTAGCATCATTATCAACAACAAGACTGAATGCTGGCACAAGCAAGAATTTGACTAAGACCGAATGACATTGTGATGGATGTTGCAGAACAGGCATATGTGCTTGTGTGTTAGATTCAGCCAATTATTTCAGGAATAAGCATGTGCTTGATAGCATGAGACTCTGAAAACTCTTCCTTTGAGAATGCCGCCAACATGAATGCTAGCTATTAATCTCTCTCTCTCTCTCTCTCTCTCTCTCTCTCTCTCACACACACACACACACCCCTACCCCAAAGTAACTCTTTCTTACACTGCAGTGTGACCAGGAAATGGAACCCAGGGTTGGGATTTGCAGACAAAGTCTTTTAAAATGCTCTCTTACTTCCTTTGCTCATCAAAATCTGGAGCCTTTTTTTGACAGGGACAACCACAACATTATGATTGACTAAAGGTTCTTAAAGGTGGGCTGCCTTCATCATTAGGAAGCCTCAGATCTCCCATTTTTCACGACACTTGTTTAAAGAATTGCCAATGACGGCTTTTTAAATCTATTCCCCCCTTCCCAAACTCAGCGGATTTAAAGGAAGAAAACACCAAGGGGGATAAAGGAAGTAATAACCCATATGTACCGAATCCCTGAAATAATTCTGAATCAAGCTGAACCTCAGCCTTTACATAAAGGGAAAATTAAATCAAGCGCTGGAGTGGATTAGGAAGGAACGTACCAGGAGACGTGTACAGTTAATCAGGTTTAGTTAGGGGTAGGGATTAAGTACTTAGACTAGCGCACAGGAACCTTCAGACTTAGAAGTGCTAGTTGGTTTAAGGCCAAAGGACCATGAGTGTGATGAGAGACATCCTAAGGACCTCGGCCGTTGACGCAGGGTGCAGATCAGGACTAACCAAGCACTGGGCTCATTGCTGGATGTGGTCCGATCATCAAGGTATGAAGGAAACACACACACACACACACACACCACCACCACCACCACCACCACCACCACCACCACCTAGCTCACACTTTCATTTGTAAAGAACAAGGTCCAGAAAGTCTCCTCTAAACCAATGAGCCTAATGTGTACTCTGACTGCCAACGGTTCACTGGGGCATCAGGTTGAGAAAGATACACAAGAGAAGAGGAAGAGGCCTCATATTGAGTCAGACCACTGATTCATCTAGTTCAGTATTGGCTACATTGATTGGCAGTAGGTCTCTTAGGCCTTGGGCCTTGTTCCCAGTCTCACGTGAAGAAGCTGGGGATGGAACCTGGGACCTACTGCTTGCAAGACGGACGTTCCACTACTGAGCTATGATCCTTCCCATCACCAGCTAGCAGACCCCAGAGTCTTTGGCATGAGATCTGCCCCTGAGCTACAATCCTGCCTCAATACTCTCAAACGATGGGATGTGGCTTAGAGTAAGAAGTGGCTCTGTACTCCATTCGGTTTCCTTTTTTTAAAAGGGGCTACAGAGCACAGTTCAAGAAAGGAAAGTTCAGCTGCAGATAACCATCATTTCTACTGCATTGATTCATTTCTCTAAAAGCGAATTTCTACCACCCCCTCCCCCCGGTTCTGTTTTAACTTCAGACCTTTGTAGCTTGACATGCTGAAAACAACGCCCCCCCCCCCCCGTCCCAGACGCCCTGTGAAAAAGTTGGCAGCATCTGAATCAGGCTGTGCTGACCAAACTATACTGTTCCCTGACGAAGGAGCAAAAGACTATTTAGGATACAAATCTGTCAAGTTTGGAATATTCCCCCCGCCCCTCATCTCTCTCCATAGAGTTCTGTAAAACGATTGGCGACAATGGCACTTCAGTATTTTCCCCAAGAATGGCTCACTTGTTCTCTATCTTGGAGCCACAGAGAAGCATATGTGCAATTATTCACTTCCTTAAACAATATTCAGATTCTTCAATGAAAAGAGTTTCCCACATCAGTGTGATGCCCACACAACTACATTCGAGAGTGAATGAAAAGACGGGCTATCAAACCCAGAATATGTTAACCTCTCCCTGGGCTCAGTCGGCTTTTTATTTTGAATCTGTGCGGGGGAAAGAAAACAGGGAACACTAGTGAGGATGTGTGTGTGTGTGTGTGTGTGTGTGTGTGTGTGTTTTGTTCTTGGAAGGCAAACATGATGTAGCCATATGCTTGCCGAAACAAACAAGTTAGCAAAATTCTACTCTTGGACTGGACGGAGAAATAAAATGAGGGCTTCTCATGTCTTGGAAAGGCATTTCGGCTTATCAAAATGGAATCATTTTAGTTATTTAAATGTTCTAAAGGAATCTACAATGTTTGCTTCCTACTTCAACTGTTGGAGGCAGTATGCCTCTGAATGTCATTTGCTGGGCATAGCAGGTGGGGAGAGTTGCTCTTGCACTCAGCTTCTGCTTTTGGCCTTCCCATCGAGGCATCTGGTTGGCCACTGTGGCAACAGGATATTGGACTAGAGGGACCATTGGCCTGATCTAATATTTTAATGTTTTGGGTTTTTTGGTTTTTTTTTAAAAATGAGATGGAGAAATACTTTGGGAGCAATAGCTCAAAGGCAGTACATACATTTTGACATAAGAATATAAGAAGAGCCTGCTGGATCAAGCCAATGGCCCATCTAGTTGAGCCTCCTGTTCAGCAAAACATGAGCACTCTCCCCTCCCATGGTTTCTAGCAACTGGTATTCGGAAGCATTAATTTCTCCAACTGTGGAGGTAGAGCATAATCATGGCTAGCAGCCATTGATAGCGGTCAGCTCCATGAATTTGCCTAATCTTCCTTTAAAGCCATCCAAGTTGGTGGGCATCACTGCCTCCCGGGGGAGCAAGTTCCATAGTTCAACTATCCACTGCAAGAAGAAGTACTTTCTTTTATCTGTCCTAAATCTTCCGACATTCAGCTTCATTGGATAACCACGAGTTCTAGTGTTATGAGAGAGGGAGAAAAGCTTTTCTCTATACACTATCTCCATGCCATGTGTAATTTTAATAGGATTAACAGAATTCTAAAAGGTTTGTGAGAAAGGACTTTCCCTTGCAGAAGCCATGCTGGCTCTGCTTCAGCAGGGCTTGTTCTTCTATGTGCTTGGTTATTTTACCTTTAACAATACTTTCTACCAATTCTTCAGGGACAAACATTAAGCTAACCAGTCTGTCATTTCCAGATTAGCCCGGGGTTCCTTTAAAAAAATTGACGCTACATTGGCTACTTTCCAGTCCTCGGGTGCGGAGGCTGATCCAAGGAACAAGTTTCAATTTTTCATTAGAAGATCAGCAATTTCATATTCGAGTTCCTTGAGAACTCTCAGATGGATGCCATCTGGACCTGGCAATTTCTCGGCTTTTATTTTGTTTATTAGGCCTAGAACTTCATCTCTCATCATCGCTATGTGTCTTAGTTCTTCAGACTTGCCTCCTGCATAGACTAGAGAGTGGCCATTTCCATGAATGATCTCCACATCAGAATTGTGTGGAACTTAGAAGCTGTGTATGAAGAGGTCACCCCTCTCTTTTGCTTTGCTTTTGAAACTCAAAGGCTCCCTGGGAAGAAGGCGAGAGGAGGAGAGAGAGAACAGGGAAAACACACTGTTGCTGTCAGCATGGTTGCAGTGTAACTCCATGATATAAGTAGTGATATGGGGCAGATTTGTTGCTATGGGGAAAGTGCTAAAAAAAGGCTCTCCCGCGCGCTCTTGTAGAACTCTGATCCTCTGGGTATTTTACATACACTTTCCTGCCGAGGACATTCGGAATTATACCTCTGATTCTAAATTGCTTCAACTTTGAAACATATGGTCTAGGGTTCGCTTCACTCAGAAGCAACCGTCTGCAACTGAGCCGTGCCAAATTCTCGCTATGTTTATTATTTTTCTTTTTTAAAAAGGGGGGGAGGTTAAGGAAGGAGGAGGAATTCAGCACATTATATCAGAAGCCACATGGAAGAAATGTAGCGGAAAACAAAACCACAAAATACAGGGAAATCACAGCTAATTCAGGACAGTTCACTCTATAAAGGACAGGTACAGGTGAGAGCTTGGAGGTAAGCACATGCTTAGCACAAAAGCCCAAGGTTCAACCCCTGACATTTTCACTTTTGAAAGAATGAGGTGTCAGGCTTTGGAACCCCTGGGGAGATACCCCCAACCAGAGTCAATGCTGGACCTTGATGGCTATGCTTCACCTCCAGGGGTCGGAGGCAGTGTGCCTATAAGTGCCAGCTGCTGAGAATCACAAGTGGGGAGTGTGCTGCTGTGCTCGGGTGCTGCCTGGGGGCTTCCCTTTGAGATATCTGGTTGGTCACCAGGACAACAAGATGCTAGGCTAGATGGGCTTTTGGTCTAATCCAGCAGGCGTCATAAGGTGTCCAGGCTCACAAAGCTGTCCTGCATTATTGCCTTCATCACGACAGCAATTCTTTTACTAAAACATTAATGATCTTTGTATCTGTCTGTTCTGCCTATCTATCTGTATTCCTCTTCTTTACAAAGAGGAGTCAGGATGTCAAAGGATCAAGTTGACTAGAGACTTGGGAGCCAGGGGGTGGCGGCAGCAGTGGAAGACACAACGCCCCGTGGCAAAAGGGCAGATGGGATTTCCACACACCAGGTTCTTCTTTATTCCAAATGTCAAGGGCAGTGCAAAATGTATTTTTAAAATGTGTTTTTGTACCGTTTCCTCTCCCTGTTCCTGCTCCCCCACTCCTCTTTTGGGCTGGGCTTCGTATCCAGAGGGGCCCATTGTCTCTCAAAAGACTTTCAGGGGCTGCCTTTGTGCAACGTGACAAAAAGGGAGAGGAGAGAGTACTGGACCTCCATTGTTCCTGCGCGGGCTGCAAAATTTGATCTGGAATTAGGTCCTCGGGGCAGGGGCTCTTCAATAGCCAGTTTTTATTTAGTGCCAGCATCTTAATCACTTCTCGGGCTTACAGCAAGCGACCGACATAATGTAGCCTCTATGCTCGCCAGAGCTTCTCGCGTATCCCAAAGGCCAGCAAACTTGAATTCAAGGATATGTCATCTGCCCAACATTAGTCTTCTCTGCTTCCTGTCTGCTTGCAAAGATGGATCGCTGGAACAACCATCAAAAGAAAAGGCCGAACCTCTGAATTTCCTCATTGTGGCAACTGCTCCCATTAAAACCCTCCCCAAGATTATCGAGCGGAATAGTGCCATATTTCCAGCAGGCTCACGATCTAAAGCAGCAGCTGCAGCAGCAGCAGAGGGTATAGAAAGCGTCACATTTTGCAAGCGCCACAGTTCATTTTGCACTTAGCAAGGAATCCACCCTTCCGTGTGGCACTAGCAGCTACTCTCTGGAACTCCTTGCCTATTTATATTAGGCAGGGCCCTTTGCTGTATTGTTTTCAGGGCCTGCTCAAAAAAGAAACTGGCCAGGTAAGCCTACCCAGACATGTAATTTTAACCTATAATTTTATTTTATTACTGCTTATATTTTGAAATGTTTTTGGCTAAACTGTTTGGTTTTATCAGTATTTTTAATGGGTATTTTCTATTGCATTAGGTAAGCAGCTTAGAGGTTTGTGCCTATTAAAGGTATATAAATCCTGTTAAATTAAAAAAGGGGGGTAACATTAAAAAACCATTATCTCAAACAGCAGTTATTTATGCCAGCCTTAAAAAGTGAGTAGTGAAAGACTTCGTCCCAACAGAGGATGCAGAAGCACGTAAGTGAACTGGAGTTAAGTTTACTCTCCCTTGCACTGAAAGTGCTGAAGAGAAGCACTTTACTGTCTGAAATTATACTGGCGTAAGCTACAGCTGTTGGGAGTGGGTAGGTGCAAGCATGTCCTTTGATAACCACAGAGACATAGCAGAAGGAACACCAGGATCCCAGAGAGGAGACTGTGGCCTTCTTGGTCCTCCTGCTGCTATGAGCTGAGCCATGGTTTCCCTTAGTGTGTCATCCAAACCCAAGCTCATGGGTTGTCTTCTTCTAAACTACAACCCGCACTTAGCCACTGACAGCTTACCCCAGACTGTGATTTGATCCTGCCATCAGGTATATAACACTCAATAGACCTGCTGACCTTGTTGAATCACAACTCACACAAGTACTGGGAACTGATTTAGAAATTTATCTGCTGGACTGGTTTGACACGCACCCACCAGAAAATCCAACCCTGGTTGACTTCTATAAGTTGTCTGTATTGTCTGTACAAAGTCCTGAATAGCTCCGAGATGCCATGCTGGACCTTGGCACACATTTCCATAGAAGTCTTCTAAACAAATATTTTAGAAGAAAATCACACACACTGGGGCAAAAGGAGGCTGTTATTTTTAACATTGATATATGTGATTCCTTGAAGGGCTCCTTCCTGTTTTTTCAGCCCTTTAACTTCCATGTTCTATTCTAGAGACACCAATGTGGGAATTAAATATTAAGAAAAAACCCAGGCCCAGAATATTATGGAAAAAAATCAACCAGCAAACATAAAGGTCCTTGAAAAGTCCATGTGTCTTGATGTTTCTGAGCTGGTTCACACGACCCTGGTGTTATTTTTAGAAAAGGAGCTGTTTCCACTTGGATCCACAGTGATACCTTGTACCCAAATGGCTCGTTTGCACAAATAATCCAACAAGAAGTGTTGACTTAAAAAATAGAGCACCGGAAGAGGAGAAAGCTTCTCCTTTGTAAAAAAAAAAAAGTTTCCGGAAAAGCTGTAAACAAAGGCTGGTTTGGCTTTGGACAGGAGCCTCTGCCGAGATGTTGAGGCCGGAAAATATATCAAGCCACACAGAGTGAGGAAATGTTTGTGAAACAGTTAGTAAATCACAGGCAACAAGGTCACCATGTTTAACAGCAGGAGCAACACTTTGCCAAAACTCCCGCTGCGAAAGGGCATAAATATGCATTGCGACTTGCGGTGTTCCATCTTTCCCCTCCCAACTTACACTTATGAATGTTGCCTTCCTAAAATATGTGAAATTCAACCAGGTTTAACTGACAGGTAAACTCAACACGGATCCCAAGGTAACATCTAGGCAGCTTCTCACCCCGCCAACAATAGAACACAGAAGTTAAAGCAACTGAGTGAAGTATCTGTCAGGAGAGCAGGGACACCAAATACAGAACGACCTTCTCAATGATGGTGACATGGCTTAATGTTTCATATGGAGATTTATACTCACAGCAGGAAAGTTCTGAATTGTTAAAAAAAAAAGTTTGCACAAGTTAGGTTCACTGTGTCGCAAAGGACTTACAAATCTAGGGAAGTCCAAAAAACACAAGGAGGAGCTTGCTGGATTGGGCCAAAGGCCCCTCGTGTCCAGCATCCCGTTCTCACTGTGGCTAACCAGATGCCACACTGAGAAGCCCACAAGCAGGATTTGGGTGCAACAGACAGTCTCCCATCCTGCAATTCCCAGCTACTGGAATTCAGAATTAGAGGCACACTGCCTTTGACAGTAACTGCAGCATCCCACCTCATGAACACATACAAAAATGAAGCCATCTGCCCATGGAGTTTGACATTATTTTGCTAAAGAGTTTATTTCTGCAGTGGCTTCAGGACAAAGAAAAAGGACTTCTGTACTGTCCAGGCTGCCAGCTCAGTAGGAAGAAAACCAGGAGCGCGTCACCCAATGGGTAGGAGCCACAGCTATAGCCTCCCAGCAGCAGCGTTAAGTGAGGCAGTGGCGAGGTTGGGGCTATGTAGATGCACTGAACTGACTCAGCTGCTGCACAGTGGAGGGTGGTCCATTAAGGCAAATGCGCCACTGCTTCACCAACTTCAGTCTGCCCTTATCTTGCCCCTACTTGCATCCAGTTCAGGGTGTGGCATTGCTTGTCAGCTTCCTTCTCTCCCTAATTATTATTTATTGAATTGGAAGCCCAGCGCAGCAAACATATCCTCAACAGAACAATTATTTCTTTTAGAGGATTCTAAAAACATTTGGAACATTCCAAAACAGTCACAGTTGGCACATTCTAAAAACTGTGAAAAAACAAGCTGATCATAGGGTCCAATATTTCAGGGAAGGCACTCTTTACATAGGTAATTTTAGCACTGCCATTGTATAACTCAGTAGCAGGGAGGAGGAGGGGAACACAACCTGGATTATTTGGCTCCGCCTGTCAACAGCTCTTGCTCTGCCCATTGTTGGCATCTCTACCTTCTGCCCTACAAACCCCAGGGGGCACCAACCACCACTGCCGGTCCATCTGTACAGCCCCAACCCAACCACTGCTTCTCATCCTCCTGGAAAGCAGCAGTGATCCACCGCTGGGAGGCTATTGCAGCAGCTCCACCCCACTGGGTGAGCGACTCTTGGAGAAAGCTGAATGGGCAGGGCAGGGATCCCAGAAGTGAATTACATTGCGGCTGCTGTTTGAAAGCAGCCCTGCAAGCCTCTGCCTCCACACTAAAACACACCAAAAGAAAAGTTGCAGTGAAATATCTAAGCCTGCTCTTTTCTGTCCTTGAAATTTTTAAAGCAAGAGGCTGTGTTCTTGCAAAAGCCAAGAAGGGCCTGATCGGGTGAAGAGATTGCGGCCTCCAGACAGGCCTGCCACGGTGTTTCCAATTTCCTTCTACAACAAGGCCCTAATGTTGAGGAGGAAGTAGGCAGATACCAAGGAATCAAGGAGGATAAAAAAGCACTAGACCTGTAACCTCCAGGGTCAAAGGGTTACAACTGCAGGGCCCAAGTGGAAGGTGGAAGGATGCCCTGCAGGTAGTTTTAAATTACTTCATCTGGCTGAACTCTGCCAAGAGGAAAGAAGAACATGCGCTGCCCATTAATGCACAACAGCCCAATCCCAGGCAAATCACCCTGGGAGTAATTCTTACAGAGCTCTGTGGGTATGTACCCAGGTCTACGTGCATCAGTGTTAGGCAGGTGTCTTCAATGGATTGTTTTGGGCACCTGCTAAAACTTTGTTTTTTTTTTTTAATGTTTAGGCACCCAGAGATGTCATTTCATCAGGTATATTTGTTTTTAAGCTGCAACGTTGACACGCAATTTGATTATGTATACCTGCTTTTGAAATTGCTGGTTTTAACATACAACAGTTTGATTAGGTATATTTGTTTTTAAAACTGCTAGTTCTATTTATGTTTCGATACATTTTAATGCCATTTTGATTCTATGTTGCTTTGCGTCACTCACCTAGATCGTGGGTTTGTGTTGTTTTTGTGGATTAGGTGGCATATAAATCTTGTCAACTAAATAAGATATATATCTGCAGTCTTAAGACACATTCCAGAGGGGTTGCCATGTCTGTTGCAACTCATGCATTTTGCTAATGACTCTAAATAATGCCCATTTTAAGTAATGTCAATAAATGATTACTATAAAAAAACTAGAAAGAGTAGGTATGGCTAGTGCAAGGAGTTGTTTCTGTGTAAACTGAGTCCCCCCCCCCCATTGGGTGCCCCATACAATCTGCTCTGGAGGGTTAGGAGAAAACCCAGAACAGATGGGGGAGTGCAGAGAGAGAAGAGGGACTGCTTGTGCTAATGGGACAACTTCATTTGATACAACCCCCAACCCCCCCCCAATAATCTGTTATGGGGGTGGGAGATAGATAATGACTTTTGATCCATTGTGTCCCAACACAGGCATTTCTGGGATGCTCCATTAAGCATTCTGTTAGGCATGCTCCCAAATTGGGGGGGGGGGGAGTGAGGGCAGAAATTTAATTTGAGAAACGACATCATAAATTTCCATTAGAATAAATCAAGATTATTGGAACAGCGGCTTGCATTCAACTGAGGTGGGTGCCATAAGTCTAGAGGTTTCCTCTCAACGAGGCTCACTCTACCCAGCCATCATGTAGTCAGAGGATGATAAGGCAGCTAGTAAAGTCAGTGATTATTGGAACAATCAAAGGTAAGGACCAGGCTTATGATGTCGTAAGTGGCAAAATGATAAGAATCTCAAGTTCAATTGCTTCTAAGAAAGGAATCAGCATTGGGTCAGGTGAACCATCATCCTTGCAGGGAGGACTCAACTCAGCAGAGATATATGTATCAGCATGTTCGTAGAGAATGGCTTGCCCATCAGAGAATATATTTGTGATGGGTTAAGCTCTAGAATCCAGAAAGAGAAGCTCCACAAATGGAAACAGCTGAAAATAATTTATTGACACCACTGAGACTAGTTTTCGACTGGGGGCGAGTAGGGAGGAATCTTTTTTGTGTGACCAAATCTATCTAGGAAAGTGCTCAGTTTACTCCAACACTCTTGCATGGCCTTGCATGAATGTAACACAATAGTTTCCAAGTTGTGTTCCAGGAAAACTCGGGAGTTTCTTGGAAGGTGGTGCCTCTACGACAGGTGTGAGAAACCTTTGACTGTTCAGAAGCTGCTGAACTACAACTCCCTTCATCCCTGGCCATTGCCCATGCTTGCTAGACCTGACAGGAGTTGTAGTTTAGCAACATCCAGAGGGCCAAAAGCTGCCCTCATCAGTTCTTATGAGATCAGCAATGGCAGATTGGTACATTCCCAGCCCTAAAGGGAGATGGTGAGGATTGAGAAAGTCAACAGAAGAGAACACCCCCTTTTGAAAGGCTTCCCTCGTGGAAAACAGTTTTCAAAACCACGGCTCTCTCTTTTACTTCCCTTGATGCCTGACCTTAAAGTGACCCCAGGGAAAAGAGGTAACATTTAACCTGGTCTGGGTCTCTATAAGAAGTGACCCAGCTCCATAATTTGCAATAGCAAAGAAAAGGACTAAAACGGATCAGGTCTTCCAAATTCTAAAGCAAGGGAAACCGTGGCAATTATTTGTGGATGCTTCTGGAGGCTCTGCCCGCTGCAGACGCCAACATGGACTCTCATGTGGGTTCAGTGAGACGGCCACGGGATTTGCCCAGGAACGACGTCTACGCGGCGCCTGGGCTTCCCCTTTGAAAGGGGCAGGGAGCACGGCAGACTCCGCGATAAGCACCCAAAAAGCCCCTGAGCGCGAATACCAAATAAATGCAAGCCTTCCGCCTCGGAAACTTTTTGCTTATTTGATTAAGTTAGGTGAAAAACAGTGCAAACACCCTTGCAGCTCGACTTCCTCTTGCCTCTCCTGCTCTCTTTTCATTTCTAATGCAAATCGGAAGTCTACGTGGAGCAGCCTGGCTAGCCTCAGTCTAACCTCCCCATCTGGAAGGGAACTAACCAGCCTTCAGGCTACTCTCAACCCTTCCCAGCTGTTGGGTTAGGGGTTTTTTTTAAAGAAAAAAAATTGTGGGCTCGAGAAAACATATTTATATAAATGATTGCCATATCCTTTGCCAGCTGTTGACCCAGCTCGTATCCCGACTGGGGCATGTTTTTCATTTTTCGCAGCCCCAGACTGGAACTGACCCGGACAGAGTTAGCACGCTAGGCAAACAGTCACCCGCGTTACAGCCATGACAAGTTAAGACAATGGGCGCACAGTGTGATCGAAGGGACCGGTGTTTCCCTTTGGGCTAATGTCACGAAATCCAGAGATGGAAGGATCAGTTTAAAAACATAAATAAAGAGACTTTGTGGTCCCCTCTTGGGCAGGTTCCCTTCAGTTTTGGACACTTTCAAAATATTGCCTTGTGTTACCGGAACAATAATGGCAACCCTCATGCAATAGGTCCCAGTTCACATTAACACAAAAGAGATCTCGAAATAATATATTGCAGTTGAGGAAGGGGGAGAAATCCAGTTCGGTTTGCAGGCAAAGGCGTTTGCACTTCCCAAAATGATGCACGAACTGAAATAAAGTCATTTTCTGAAGTGTGCACTTCCCTGGATGTTGCTATGCAGCTCTCCAGCTAAGCAACAGATTAAAAAGAAAATACATATACTAAAGTGTGCATGAAGATGCTTGCATTAGTGAAAACAAGATACAAAAAGGCGTTACATGAGGGAATATTGCTTTGCAAATAGGCATATATTAGAAAAAGTTGCATAAAAAATTACATACGTCAGTTGAAATTCACACTAAAATTCCAGTGGATTTTCATGAGGACTCTTTTTTTAAAAAAAAGAAATTGGCAAACTGATTTGGAAATGTGGAGAACTGAACTTAATATTGGAAAAATAAGGCACTGAAACAAACAGAAATGGACAGATTCATCCCTAAATGTAAGCTGTCATCGTTCTTAATATTAAGTATTTTCTAGCTGCAACATCACTTACTAAGCCTGGACCATCAGAGTATCCGTGTGTTGACCAGGAAGCAAATCTCACTAAATTCAATGGGTTGTATTACTAAGTTAAGTGTGCAGAGGATTGCAGGTTTAAATTGGTTTGATTTGTAGATTAGTTGGGTCAATTGGTGGGACTAAATTTTAATTGACAGAACCAAATTTTTATTGTTGAGGCTGACTGAAGGTCACTTTTTAATTTTTAAACCCACTCTGGTTCAGCTATAGGCTATCATTAACAGAGAGGGAAAATGAAAAAAGATAGCATTTTCTTCTAACAATCACCATCATCACTGATTTATGAATTGCCTTCAAAACCACCATCTCAAGGCAATTTACACAGAATTAAAAACAGCTACGACACAAAAACAATTACTTTTTAAAAAAGATTAAAACCCTAACAAGTAGACCTTGTTCCATGTATGCAGCAACTTAGTTGAATCCTGCCCAGTATTTCTAAAGAAGCACATATACCTACAAATTAACATATACAAATGTTATGTAAATTTATATCCGGGGGGGGGCTACATTCTGGGAAGCAACTGGCTACCCTCTTGCACCCTCTCTCCTCTGAATCTTTCAAAAGGCTGTGAAAACTCTGTACTTTTCCAAATCCTGTGCTGAGCTTGATTTATAATGTTATATATGTTGGTTTATTGACTGGAACCCGCCTCCAGGGGCATTTGTGTGGCAAAAAAGAGAGTGGCACATAAAAGTGTCAAAATATAAAAAAGGATGATATCTAAGACAGTGTGGACCCATAGAAATCAATGGACTTAAGTTATATACATTTTAGTTATAGCAAACTAAATTAGAGGAGACGTACTGAAACTGATTATACTAAATTAATCTTGCCCATTAATTTCAATGGGCCTGCTCTGAGAATGGCTAACAACACAACCCTCACCCCGTGTTTGGCATTGGAGGCCCTTCTCCATGTGCCACCTCTGAGAAAGGTGGCAACATGAGAACAGGCCTTTTCTGTGGTGGCTCCCTGCTTACGGAATGCTTTCACCAAGGAGGTCTGCCTGGCACCATCACTATCTGCATTTAGGCACCAGGCAAAAATGCTTATCTTTGGCTGTAATCTGGAGGGTTTTATATATCTGTGGCCTCTTTCAGTGGGTACAATGCGTTAGAGCTGTTTTTTATATGTACAAGTGTGCTTTTAGGTTTCTATACTGTTTTGTTTGAACCTAGTTTTGATCTGTAGTATTTTGTAAGTCACTTTGGGTTAGCCCTTTAAAGGAAAAGTGACAAATAAGTGCAATAAATAATAACAACAGCTACAACTCATAGATTTCGATGGGCCTACTCGGACTTAATTGGATAGCACCCTAGGTAAGTAATTTGTGAAAAGCCAGTCCTAAAATATGAAACCTCTTGCAGAAACACCGCCAATCAAGAAGACCTACTTAATCCAATATGGATACTCACCAAAGGACAATAGCGTTTCCTTAATGGTAAGTTACAGAAACAATGAATTGGAGCTCTTCACAGCTTTCAGAAGCTTTAAGGGGCTTCTTGATCATAACCCACCAAGGCACTTGCGTTCTGCTTGGGCTGCAGGAGATCGTCCTCTAATTCTCAATGCACAGAATTAATTAAAAATAAATTTACTGTTAAAGCTTAGAAGTGGTGCAAAGGATGATCCAAAGGGAAAGGGTTTTAAGCCCATTAATAATTGATCCAGTGAAGGAAAGGCCACGGACGACGATGACGATTTAGTGGGCCAATCTGCAAAAGGTGAAAAGAGCAGTGGGAGCGGGCAAGAAGATGGCAAACGACTCTCCTTGCTGCTGGTCTCATCATACTTAACTAAATGTGGATTCTAGCAATTTATTAATAGAAATATTAATAGCAATAGTCCTGTTTTCATAGTGGCCAACCTGAAGCCCGAATGCAGGAGACGAGCACCATGTCGCTCTCCCCACTTGTGATTCCCAGCAAGAGCTATCCAGAGGCATACTGTGGAGTGCTTCCTGAGGTCCCGATCCTGTTTAAAGGTAAAGGGACCCCTGACCACCAACCTTCTGATTGGCAAGTCCTAGGCTCTGTGGTTTAACCCACAGCACCACCTGCGCCCCCCCAGATCCTGTTTATCCCCTCTAATTTCCACAAATTCATATCAGCCCTAATTTGAATTAACAGCAACATGTGAACACTGGGGGCAGTGAATCCAAAGCAATACAGGTCAACGGAACAAGCATGACACCTGGAAAAAAATGTCTTATGTCTGAATTGAGAGATGACTTTTTCCCTCCCTCTTTAGTAATTTCCCGCCTGAAGGACTAGCTTCGCAGCTTGGATTGGAATCCAGCTTTAGCACAACACGCTGGGAATTTCCACAAGTGCTGAGCGACTTAACTGATGGAATCTTTGAAGCCTCTCTAGTGCAGATTAACTAATGAAAAAATCTGTGAAATCGCTATTCAATCTTCTTTTTCCCCGCCCCCCCCCCCCCCCGGCTGGATGTGTTTGCGATGGTTGGGATGAAGCCTTCTTGCCAAGCCATCTGGCTCATCCACGAGAACCTGGGCCGAGAAATTAACAGCCCACACCATTTGTGTGTCACAATCCAGGAATCGGATTTGTCACGCAATTAAAGGAAGGGATTTTGCAAGTTGCTGCCCAGTCCTCCCCGGCACCCTCCCCATCTCCTGAGCTGAAGTGCAAAGAGAGATTTGACCTCTAAGGTGTAATGTATATTTATGTCAACATGCTGCCTGTAGCCACAACATGCATACATTATCACTACAGACTTAGCCCATTAAAACACCTGGCAGGGATGGGCAAATATCACAATTTCAGATTCTCTCAGTTCGTCAAGAACTCCACATTCCTACATTGGGTGTGTGTGTTTCTAATACCTCATGAAAATTATTTAGCATTTTAGTGTGAATTTATCCTAATCTACTCATGTTTAAATGCAATTATTACATAATATACACATTTTTGCAGAGCAGTTTCCCCATATATAATACATTTTAATGCTATTTTCATTAATACGTTGATTTTTTTAATGCGCACTTTACCTTAGTCTACACATTTTTTTGCAGACATTACTTGGATGGAGAACGGCATTGCAAAATTCAGGAAGTGCAGATTTCAAAGGATGGCTGGGTTTCCACATGGTTTCAGAAAGTGCAAATTGGTTAGGCTTGCCTTAAAATGTGAACTGCCAAACTACTAAAAAATGTTTTTTAAAAAAGGTACGGTCACAAGAATAGGGGAGGTCTTGAAGATATATGCCGTACATCTAAAATGTCCAAAGCCAGAGTAAAGCCTTCAGAATATGACAGGAACAATGCAATGAAGGTGGCAGGCAATCCTCTGTGGGGAGAGAATTCCACAGAGAGTGCCCACTCCCAGCCCCCCAGAGTGGCTGGGGCAACCCTGTCAGATGGGCGGCATATAGATAGTAAATCATTATTACTATCTCTCGGTCCATGTCTGAAGTTCACCACAGCTGTGACCTCAGCGTGTAGTGGGAAAAAAATCCTATTTCAAGTGCACAGGACTTCACCCCATAGCCCTATGTCTTTGAGAAAGGAATTTTCCCCAAAGGCTCATAGTAGATGCCATTTTATAGCACTTGGGAATTTCTTCCCTCCTCTTTTTTTTTAGCCTCCATGTATGTATGGGCAAGGGACGCGGGAGGCGCTGTAGATTAAACCACAGAGCCTAGGACTTGCTGATCGGAAGGTCGGCGGTTCGAATCCCCACGACAGGGTGAGCTCCCGTCGCTCGGTCCCTGCTCCTGCCAACCTAGCAGTTCGAAAGCACGTCAAAATGAAAGATAAATAGGTACCACTCTGACGGGAAGGTAAACGGTGTTTCCGTGCACTGCTCTGGTTCGCCAGAAGCAGCTTAGTCATGCTGGCCACATGACCCAGAAGCTGTACGCTGGCTCCCTCGGCCAATAAAGCGAGATGAGCGCCGCAACCCCAGAGTCGGCCACGACTGGACCTAATGGTCAGGGGCCCCTTTACCTATGTATGGGCACAAATGTCCCCTCTCTAATTTTGATCCCGACAACCAAGCAGAATGCAGAAGAGAATACTCCTGCTGTCTCAAGATTCTCCACCTAGGCGAGCACAATCTTTTTTTTCTTTTTCTTTTTTCTTTTTAAGGCTGAGTGGTTGGAATCCACTCTACTGCCTTCCCTTCATTTTATGTAGCTGCCACCAGGATTCAATGAGACGCAAAATATGTGGACATGTTTTGAGAAATGTACCAGTTATAAAATAATGAAAAATAAAAGAGGAGAGGACCACCGTTGATTTAACAGCCACACAAATCCTGACAGCATGTTTCCTCCCAAAGCAAAAACTGGAGGGGTGTGGTGGAAATCAAATTAAGAGTAGCTGAAAAAAAATCTAAATTATTATCCTCCAATTTAAATTTCCACTTTTATTAAACATTCTCAGTCGGAAAGTTGTGTGTGTGTGTAAAAGGTGCTCTGACATGCCTCTAATTGATTCGTTTTACACCATTTGAGGAAGGATAACAGTGATTTGTTGAACATTTTCTCCCTCCTTGTCCTGCATACATCCCTCATTTGCCCATCTTAATTCAATTAAAGGGAGTAAGGACGGTTTGACCGGTGAATGAACCATATTTTAAACGGAGGACGTTTCTATTTAAATTAGAATATATCAACCATTGTAATTCTCAGCCAGTTGCTTCCGATCGGCAACTTTTATTCTGGAAGGTCACAGAGTGGTCACAGAGCAAGCAAGCAACACCCCCACCCCACCCCAAGCCCCATCTCTCCCAGCATATTAACCATGGACAAAACCACACATCCAAATTTGGAAACGACTCTCTGGGTTGTGCTCAGTCTCTGCATTACACCAGCTCACTGCGAGGCCCAGTTTTGAACCCCTCAATGTAAGTCGGGCAAGATGGGGCATTGCAGAAGCATGGTGAAGGGTGTCAAAAGACAGGTCTTGCTAGGAAAGGCTTAAAGGTATCTAAACCTTGAAATGCATTTTGTGGAGTCCTAAAAAATTCATCCTCAAAACTGCTGCAAGATGAAATTTGGGATATTGGGAGGGGTGGAATTAGAAAGAACCTCCTGATGCTGCCCTGTGGAGGCTGGTCCATGTGGGTGAATGGGGCATTGTCCCACCAACTCAATCTGCCCTTCAGCCAGCCAACACCTGCTTGCCTTCCTACATGCAACCAGTCAAAAGCGTGGCGCTGTTTGTCAGCTTCCTCATGAAGAGGATGAATGGGCTCTTCTTGCCATTGGCTCTGGCTCCATCTAGTGTTGGACCTCCTCTCCTTCTTTCTTCTTCTCTGCAAGAGCCAGCCCCATTGACAAAGCTGCCCCTGTGCTGTGCAGAGGCCCCCTTCACACAGCCTGCCTGGCACCCCAGGGTGACCACTGTGGGTGGCAATGCTAACGCTGCCCCCAGTCTGCCACCCTGGACAACCACTGTCTGCAAATACATCTCTGCTTGGAATGAGGCTATTTTGCTACGCGGCATCATTCCAGGGTTGTTCTTTGAGTGTTCTTTGTGGATGGATGGTGGCCCACACTGGAAGGCAGGCAACTGGGGCTTTGTTTCAGCCCCTTGTGACAATGGCAAAACAAAATCGTTTTAATGCCGGGGTGCAGAACCAATGGCCCTCCAGATGTTGTTCGACTGGACTCTGGCAGACAGACTGAAACACACACTTTGTTTTCCCCAGATCCAGCAGAATTAATCTGACTCTTGAAAACCACACAGGACTGAAAGAGGAAGTTGGAACGAGTGCCACTCTTCAAATTCCTCCTTTAGCTCTATGTATTTTTCAAGGGAAAGAAAGGTAGACACACTCGTGACCAAGGCAGTGAGGGGAGGGCACTCTGAGATTTGCTGGGTGCCAGGGGAAGACCTCGAAGGTACCATGGGACTACACTGGTGACCCCTATGCATTTGAGTGTGGATCCCTAGGTGGATAGGATATCACACGGGAAAGCCAGATTGCCAGGGTGCATCTTGCACTGTGTGGCCTTCACCAGAAGGCAGAAATGGCAGCAGAGGAAGTCCAAACATCCAGAAGTTATGTGAAAGGCATGACTAGACACTGATGGGGAAGCAGAGACCACACTGCCATGGCGAGAACCATAAATCTATCCATCTAATGGGCAGTAGGGAATGGAAAGTGGCATAGCCAGGAGAGTTTAGTGGTGTCATGGAATTCCCCCCTGCAATCTCACAACCAGGGACTGCCTCCTTTCCCTGCTTCCAACCCTGAGCACTGAAAATACATAAGAAGCCACCTTAAACTGAGTCAGGCCATTGGGCTATGTAGCTCAACATTGTCAACACTGACTCCAGGGTTTCAGGCAGAGGGTCTCTCCCAGCCCTGCCTGGGGATGCTGGAGACTGAAACTGGGACCTTCTGCGTGCAAAAGAGACTCTCTGTTGCTGAGCTACTGCTCTGCCATTGCCGCTGTGCAGATGACAAAGCCCCATCCGTCTCCTTTTCCCGAATGATTTCCCTTTAAGTCCAAGCTGGGCACAACGCCACAAAAGCTGCTGTGGAGCCCCCTCCCTCCCGCACCTCCTGCCACCCCCTGCTGCGTCAGGCGACTGAAGGTTAGGAGGTAATCAAGCTTACAGATTAAGGCTCGCTAAAGCTACAAGATCAGCACAGCTTGGGTGTGTTTATTAACTCTTGAAAGGAAGGGGTTTACATTCAGTCGCAGGATGGGTGGGTGAATGGAAACATATTTATTTCAGGTGGAAATACATACCTAGACACACATACAGTATATGTATATGTATATGTATACGTATACACACACACACACACACACACACACACACACTATAAAACTCTTCCTATATTAGCATCTACAAAGTGTGGCAATCCAAAGCATTGCTGGGGTTCAAATCTATTTACTTATTTTTTTAAAAAAATATTTTTTATTAAAGATTTTCATGAAATACAAAAGAATGTGCAATGTCTCTTTCTCTGTAAAGTTTATAAAGTGTTTTGGTTACATTCAGTGTAAGACAATATGGCATCCCGAGGTAGAGGGGAGAGGGTCGGTGATAAACCTACACACTATTTTTCCATTTTTCCAACTTGGTATATGTGTGAGGTTTCTACTGGAAAGAGACCTTCACTCAGGAGAGCAATAAACATCCATGGTTCCCCACCCCCACGCTCAATTTGCCCTTGCAACAACCACCTGAGGCAGGTTAGGCTGAATGACAGTAACTGACTGCCAAGTCAACGTGGCTGAGTGGGCCATTTGAACCCTGGCCTCTCGGGGTTCCTGGTCTGACTCCCCAACCACTGGCTCTCGGGTTGCAATCAGCTTTAAGACTCTAACACGGCATGGGATACACTCTCAAACATGTAAATAAATAGCACCACTTCGTGGAATGGGTAGAATCTGACCTCACTTGAAGGCTTCCAGCAAACCACTCAGAAACAAATCTCAGACCTCTGTTGGTAAGCTACAGCCCTTCCTTGCAAAGCATGCTTCCAGGGTTTATCCCGTTTTCTTCCCAAAACAAGCCTGTACAGTTCAGTAGGCTGAGGGATGGTGACACCATGGATAATGGATCTGAACCACTGTCTCCCTCGGTCAGGGAAGTCCATGCTCTACAATGCACTGGCTCCCCTGAGAATCACATTAACAACTGCCTCTGAATTCTGTATTTGTAACGTCAGTTAAATCTGCTTGACACTCCCCCCCCCCCAAATACTTGGAGAAACTGGAGTGCGTTATCTAGAAATAAATATTACATTTTACAGTAGGAGAGGGCCATTTAAAAAAAAAAAATAGTCTGTGGGTTGTGTCAGAAGAGAGAGAGAAGGAACGATGGAAAGAAATGAAAAGCAGACAGACCCCTCCGCAGATGCTTGACGAACACACAACAGCTGTTTACAGCAGTGCATTTTCCGCTAATTCATTAGAGCGCCTTTTGAAACACACACACACACAACAAAGAGAAATGCCGTTTTAGACGCATCTTCATTTGCACAAGGCAGAACCTACAATTGCAACAGCCCCGGCCTTTCGGATGCTCCACGTTCGCTGGCTATTATGCAAGGTCACATGGCACAAATGCAAATTAAACAAAGCAATTGCTCGAGGGCTGAAGGACCCTTTTAATAGATATATATACATACATACATTAAAACAACCCTCAAAACAATTAATGGCATGGCTTAAATACCAGCCTGATACGCCTCGTTCCTCCTCCCTTTCCCTATAATCTAACAGCATGTTTTGTCTTTAATTTCTTACAACTGAGACATTTTCATTTGTAAGCGTTGGACTCAACAAAGAGCTAAGCTGCTCAACACATCTGTCCAGCTACATAGTGTGGTCTTGATTTTTCTCCGTCTCCCTCCCCCCTCCCCCAATAACATTTGCTTCTTCACGCCCAGTGCTTATTTAATTCACCAAGTTTATGGCCTGTTTGCACATTTCTCCCAAACACAAAAGAAATAGATCAGCATTCCAGTGATCAGGTGCAGATTATAATTATGGTCCTATTAAAGGAACTGCATCACGGGTTGTTTGGGCCCAATCGCTGGTAGCAATCTGATCAAAGCGCACCATTTAATGCTGTCCCCGTGGGATCGGAACCCCGTGAAAGTAGTTCCAGGTTCCTGATCTGGGACCCTCTGGGCCAACTGCTTATGGAGCCTTCCCCACCCCAGTAGGCTCCAGGTTTTGGAGAGATGCTGTCTTTTTAAGCTTAAAATTTTGTATTACTGCTTTCTTTATCTCTCGCTGTTTTAAGTTTTTAAGCTGCTTTCAGTAGGCACTTGTCTGAAAAAGGAAAAAGAAAAAGAAAAAAAGCAAAAAGCAAAAAAAGGAATGTAAGCATAAAATAAATAAATAAATAAATAAATAAATAGTGCTGGACTCCAACTTCCACTATCCCTGGTCATCAGTTGTGCTGCATGGGGCTGATGGGAGTCCAACGTCATCTTCAGTTACTTGGGATCATTTGGGATCAGAGCCCTCTTCAGGCACAGAAGGGAATAACATTGCGCAACATCGGCCTCCGTGATTAGCAGGCAGTATCAAGACTCTTGACTACTGGCCAAGCCTGGTACATATACCTGGTACATACAGGAGTACCTTTTGTCACTGGGCTACGGATGCAACTTCCTGCTTCTCCATACCTTCCAGCCTAGACAGCAATTAGCAGCAGGCAGTGAGACCTAAGGAGTAGGTAACATATCTCACAAGAGCCAGTGTGATGAGGCCACTGCAAGAACTAGGATTGTACTCAAAGAGAAGAAGTCACACTATTAAATACGAGAGAAGATTCTTGCGACTGTTAAGGCACCTGCCCCTTCACCTTCTGTAGGAGCTTCCTGGGGAAATTCCCATCTATGCCAGGAAGATTTATTCCCACCCTCCTCCAATGATCCTGGCTGAATATCGTTTTCAGAGATCTCTTTCTATCCAAGGTGGGTTAAGGTAGGGGGAATCTGCACCCTTGGTCTATTTTCATGGGGTGCTTAACTAATTTAAAAGGCCACCTGCAAGACTAAAATAGTGAACTATCTCTTGGCATCTAGCTGGTTAGGGGGAAGAGAAAGAGAGAGAAGGGGCAGCAGAGAGAAAGAAAAGAGGTGGCCCCACACACTTCTAGCTCTGCCTGCTCCACTCCCAGCAGCTTACTCCCAAGGGAATGTGGTCCACAACAAAACAAAAAAGTTGCCCAGCCCTGATTGAAGGGGGTCACAACATTGCACTTCCTGTCAGTTAAAGAAGTTCCAGAAAGCAACATCAAGGAGCCTGGAGGCAGAGCTAAGCATTGCCCCGTCTGCAGCGTCCAGTGAACTTGAGTGCCAGGAGATGGATGACGACCCATCTACACAAGGGTCTCATTCATCTGCATGTCAAAATTTTCTCCATGGAGGCAACATGGTAAAAGGCTGGTGGTGCTGCCAATGATTCCATTGATTCCATCACAGGAGGCTTGCTTGGTACTCATCTTATCTCTCTGTGTGTTTCCACTGAAAGCTTCACTGGCGAGTAATTTCACTACATCTAAGGCTTAGGTGCCAAAGCAAATCTGAACGATCTTGCCCCATGCATTTGGGAAATCACAACAATGCCTGGCCTTTCTATGGAAGGAAAGTACATATTCGCTTTCCCTGAACACATAATATGCTTCCTATGCCCTGTATTCTAGAAGCACCAACACTTGGGAACACCTGAAGACCCCTGCAGCTGGATCAGGCCAAAGGCCCACCTAGTCTTGGCATCCTGGTCTCAAAGTGGCTAACTAGATGTCCTGATGGGAAGCCTGCACATGAGACTTGAGAGCGATAGCACTCACCCCACCTGTGCTTCCCAGCAACTGGAATTCAAAAACATATGGCCTCTGACAGTGGAGCTAGAACATAGACATTGTGCCAGTAGCCATGGATCATCTTATTCTCACACCCTTGAGTAAGGGATGCAGCTTAACAGAGAGAGTAGCCATGCTAATCTGGAGCAGAAAGGAGACAAGTCATATCCAGAAATCAGGAGAGACACAAACCCCAACCCCAGAAGCAAATGAAAAAACCCACTGAATACGAAGCTGATGTTCACATCTCTCTTGCACATCTCCTGCCCGTTTGCCGTTCTCGGCAACTCCGCTATCTGCTCGTCAGATGGCCCCGAACATCTGTGCAACAAATGAAAACGCAGAGCGGTCGGTTTGGGCTGTGCGTTCCTTTCTTAGGGCTTGGTGTTGATAATCTCCACCACAGCAGAAGCTCCGGTCCTTTAAATTAAACATAAGAATCTTGTCTCACAGTACAGCTAGGTTATCCATGTGTAAGCGCCCTCGCCAAGTAATTACACATCCGCTCAAAGGATTAGACACATAAGATTTCTCTAAATTTTTAATAAAACTGCACAGCTGTTGTAAGGAAAAACTCTTTTGTTCTAGATTTTTGAAAAAAAACAAAACAAAAAACACACATTCACCTCAAAGCGATTCGCAGCTTCACTTCAAGGGCGGTGGGGGGAAAGGACTTAAGAAAGTCTTTCTGGAAGACACTTCCTGATAAGAGAAGGGGCTTGACACCAGCTTAACTTCATGTCAAGGAACTGGGGCCTATGAAAAAAAGCTACAGCAGCAAAGAGGTCTGAATGGGACTTTCTGATGTGGGGAGGGGGCTGCAATGGCTGCAAATGAGATAATGAGCTACTGGGCAAAGGGTGAAGCATATTGGGAGGTTGGGTTGATTAAGGCTGAGAGGGCTGGAGTCATGTGACATGGGCCATGTGACAAATCTCTCCATTTTGACTTCTCTCTGTTTCTCACTGTTCCAGTTTTGAATTCCATTCTTCTCATTTCTGCATGAGTTTGCTTTTTTGTTATTTAAAGAAGTCTTCATGAAAATTAGCCAGCACTTCAGCACAAATTTCTCCTAATATATACAATTTTTATGCAATTCTGTCTAAGATACATTTTTTGCAATAATTTTTTGCCCTAATAGAATGCTCTTTTTAATAAGCTACTTTCAGAAATATATGCAATTTTAGGCATGCTTTCCCCCAAACATTCACATCGTCATACATATTATTTGGTTGGAGAATCACAACGCAAAATCTGGAGAAGTATATGTTGAAGGAGAGCTATGATTTGCTTCACCCATGAAATTGCAAATAAGGTAGATTCACATTAAACTCCTGATGGCACCAAATTACTCCTCTATCCCTAGAACGGACCTCTTTTTTTCTAAAGGGGGTTTTTTTTTGGTACTTTTTCAAGGCCTGAGATTTCCCTAAGCCTGCTGCCACTTCCCTCTTGATTGTGGATGGTGCCCTTTTGGGCTAGATTCTAAGGTGGTCTCATGTCCTACTTTACAAAGGACTGTCCTCTATTTCAGGGATGACTACACCTGCAGGCCTCCAGATGCTGCTGGACTATCACCCCAGACTTCATAGGTCATGCTGGCTGGGGCTGATGGGAGTTGGAAGTCCCAAAACCTACTGAGAGCTACAGGTTAGCCTCCTCTGATTTGGTCGAAGGACAGACAGGTCCAAGTCCATTTTAAAGATAAGAAGCAGAAAAAGAAAGAGCAGTGAAAAGTGTTGATGTTCCCTCATCAACACTTAGCACCTTGACTGGAGACTGAGTAGGCACACAGGTTAGCTGCTCATGGTCTTCCCCACTAGGGGAATTAAAGCAATTATTTCTAAAATTTGGGCTTATACACGTAAATTAGCACATGCACATTTTAGGCACATCATGGTTCACTTTTGCAATGATACTGTGGCCAACCTAATGAGGGCCATCACTTAAGAGAACAGAATTCACTCTTGGTACACATGATTATTTTATTTGACCCACTGGAGATAATCTTACTGGGAGGTTCTCCTGAGTGAGCCCCATTGATATGAACAGGAGCCGGGCAAGAGCAGCACAGAAGATTCTGAAGAACTGCCCCATGGAAGATTTCTCCACTTCATATCCAATCAGAGTACGATATACCCAAAGCAGGCAGAGGTGTGCTGCTAGGACAAGAGATCCTGATCTGGGGCAGTCCTACCATTAGTCAGAGAGAGGTAGAGGGGGTGGGCAATGACAGTGAGATGTTGAAGTTGTGCATCCCTCTTCGCTTCCCCTTCTTAGCCTAGATTGATGCCCCTAAATGCACAGCATCCAATCACTAGTGCTGAACTAAGATTCAGCTACCAGTCTGGAATAGAGTGGGCACCATCTCGTCCTCTGCCTCAGGTGGCAAAATATATTGGGCCAGCCCAGCCCTGGGAAAACACAAATGCCTTTTTAAGATATCCAATACAGAAGAGTTTGATTTCTAGGTTTTAAAGGAGTGCTTCCTCTCTCCCATCTCCAGCCAGCTACAAAGAAGGCTCACTGGTAAATCTCAACCGTGATCTTCAGGGGCAAAGGCAAACCACCAGGGTGCTATTTATAATGAACTGGGGTCCCAGAATATGTTAACAAACCAGAGCTGACCTTGATCACTCATTCAGAGCCAAAGGCATAGGGCTGCCTCCCCTTCTCTCTTCCCACACAGCCCACCTTTGCTCTGACATTTATCAATTTGCTTTCTTGATCTCTCAAGCAAGTCACGGCCTCTAATCGGCTGCAAGATCTCCAAGTCGCCATCCTAATTAAATTACTGAACGAAGAGACAGTGGAATGCAGGGGCTCACACAGAAGAACTGAGAGCATAATGGAAAGATTAATATGTACCAAGGTATTACTAGCATTGGTTTCCCTTCACCACCCCCACCAATACTTCTCTAGATGTGTGCAAGAGATAAGCCTTCTAAGTCATAGGAAATCGCTTGCAAGTTGGTCCTCTGCCTTAAGTGACTTGATTACTGCCATGTATTGTGTATGGGGCTGCCCTTGAAAACTATTTAACAACTTCAGCTGCAGGGGTGGTGAATCTCAGGCTCATGGGGCAAAAAGACCCTCCATCCCTGTTCAATTGGTTCAAACGATGGCAGTTACTTCAATCTTTGCTCAAACATGTTAAAAGATCTTCACCAGCTTCCAATGTGGTTCTGGTTGCAATTCAAGGCACATACTTTGTTCTAATCCTGGTGCTGATTCGGAGCACGGCATCTCAAATCCCAGCCATGAAGGTCCACATCAACTGGCACAATGACTGAAATGCCCTCCAGGCACCTCCTATTATAGCAGGAGTGTGGAACCTTTGGCCCTCCAGATGTTGTTGGATTATAACTCCCATGAGCCATGCTGGTTGGGGTTGATGGGAGATGTAGTCCAGCAGCGTTTAGAGAGCCTATGTTTCCCTGCCCCTGTATTAAACTGTAGCTTGATATAGCTTGGGAACTGCTTCTAACATGGGCAAATTTGGGCAGCTTTGAACCCAAATTCCAAGGATGATGTCCATCCTTAAAGCAAAAAGGTGGGCGGGCTGGGGCCATCCTAGTTAAGCTGCAGCTGAAAGACACCGGAAAAGTACTGAGGCTCAACGTGGCATCAGGAAGGTCCTCTCCACATCTCCTGACAAAAGCGGGGTATCTCCCTGATGTTGCGCTTGCCAGATTGCCATTGGTGAGGCGGCAAGTGCATTTGTAGGCCCTTGCCAAATGCCATCCTCTGCCCCATCAGGCTCCACTTCAAACCTGCAAGGTGTCACCTCTGAGTCCCCTCCCAGCTCAGAGCCTGAGGAGACCTGGCAGTCCTCATGCCAATTACAGGGACTGTTGTGGAACCTTCTCTTCCCTCCTGTGCCAAAAGAAGGTACTGTAGCCTGACCACAGATAATCTAGGTAGCTCTCTGGGCCAGATTCCTGACCCCAAGGCTCCCGGTTCAAGTCCCAGAGCCCTCCAAGACAATGCTGTCTCTTTACACAACAAAAGACTCTGTCAAGGGAAACCCAGCTATATAATGCTTAACACATCTCCATTGATTGTGCACATAACATATTCATGAGAATTTGAAGGGTCTGACTGGGCAGCGGTCCCAAAATGTGCCATGCCACCTCGGAGACAACCCTTTGCCTCGCTCGCAGTGGCCCAACTGGGACTTTGGATCTTAGCTTTATTAAGACACAATATTTCCTGTTAGGTCTTAAAAGCATTTAAACACTAGATCTCCAGGATTCATTACTTGAGAGGCCACCAGGGAGAAGGGGAAAGGAGAAATGGTGCTGGTGGTGGAGAGGGGAAGAGGTCCGTGTGTTAGTTTATCAAACTCAGTGGAAATACAATGTATTAATTATGCTAAATGAAGGAATATGGGCATCATGTTACTTTTGCAGGTCAGAAGATTTGAATTTGTCCCTTTCAGCCAGCTGGCCCTCTCTCGGTTTATTAGCCTTGCTCAGCTGCCAGAGCACATCAAAACTGAAGCAAGTGCAGGGAGCAGGGACTGAAACAGACCCCTGTTTGGGGGGATAAAGGTCACCATTTTGAGCAGACAACGAGGGGAGGACCCCTCATAATGTCAATCTTCTTTGGTTATAAAAAATTGGATCGGGAGGAGATGAGTTTATAGATTTCCTTCTCACCCGTCCGAATTTCATGCTTCATTTCAAAAATCTCAATTTCCAAATGAGGGCCTCCTTCCACTGCTCTATTCCTGGGGAATTCTTTAGTTCCTGGTACCCATTTGCGTTTCCGTGTGCTGCTCTGGTTTGCCAGAATTGGCTTAGTCATGCTGGCCACATGACCCGGAAGCTGTCTGAGGACAAATGCCGGCTCCCACGGCCAGTAAAGTGAGATGAGCGCCGCAACCCCAGAGTCGTCTGCGACTGGACTTAACAGTCAAGGGTCCCTTTACCTTTACCCATTTGCTCTTGCCACCAGGGCATTTAAACCCCTGACAGAAATCCAGCTCGTCATTCTGGCTTTCTCAAACAGCTCTCTCGCCACTCCTTGCCCCTCGTGATGATCCTGATTTCTTGGATAATGGGTGCAGAAGCTTTTTCAACCTGAGGGCCATGTTCCCTTCTGGGCAACTTTTTTTATGGGGGGGCACAACCTGCCAGTGGTGGGTGAGGCCGCAGGTGAAAGGGGGCATAGTCATGAATGCATTTTTTACCTTTGTATGGTAGGCTAGTTTCAATGCATGCCTCTCTCTATCGTCCTTACGGGCAAGCAAGAGGCATTATCATAGTTCCAGGACAAATTCCAGCCAAGCAAAAACATTCAAGGAGGGTGTGCAGCAGGGCCAGTGATGGGTGTGGCCTAAGGAGAGTGGGTGTGGCCTGGGGAAGAGTCTTGAGGGCCAGACAGAGAGGCCTTAAGATTCTCCACCCCGTCTTAGATTGAAAGCAGGGTCTGTGTGTGTTATCTCAGCCTATGCTGATGGCTCTACAAATACTCATACGTTTAGCTGGGTGCATGTTGGTGTGAACACATTGCAATGCTGCTGCGCTGCTGAGTTTCATCAAAGCCAACCAATAAACTGAGTGAGGTTTACCACAAGCGCATGTGCATTTGTAACTTGAAGTGGTGCTACACAGTCATAAGCCACCTTATAAAATTCAGCTTAATAAAATAAAATAAAAATAAAAATTCGGCACACAGCCTTTCTGAATTAATTCCAGTCTTTAAGAGGGTAATGCAACAGTGCAGCAGGGAAACGGGCGGGAGTCCTTAATGAGTGGGCTCCTCTTTTTAAAAAAGCATGGGTGGTTTGCATCTTTCTTGTTCTCAATATGTGGCAATCATCATACTCATTTACAGCATCTTATACCATTCCAATTTTTGTAGCTGTGTTGTTCCAGTTACAATAACGCCAAAGCACAAGAGAAGGATGTGAATGGATTCTGCCTGCTTTCTAGAACTGAATTTTGCATGCACCAAATTGTGTAGAGATCTGCATCCCCATCTGGGCAATCCTTTGGGAGCCACATGCCAGCGGTGGGTGGGGCCAGTGGCAAAAGTAGGTGGAGCAATGAATGTAAACTTTACCTTTCTGAACATGCACGCGCGCGCGCACGCGCGCGCACACACACACACACCTCTATCTTCCATCCAGGATCAACGTATGAAGACACATTCCAGGTAGGCAAAAACCCTCTAGGAGGGTGTGAAATATAGCTGGTGAGTGGTGTCGCCTGAGGAGAGGAGGTGTATCCTGGGGAGAGCTGGAGGGCCAGAAAGGGAGAGCTGGAGGGTCATATTTGAGACCCTCCTAAGCCTGAGGTTTTCCACCCCTCTTATAGAGCAGTACCATAGCAATCTCCCGAGATCTAAAGCAAAAGCTCCCCCTGCACAAATGTACAGTTAAATTAGTTACTCCCAACACAGAAAAATATATAGAATATGTATGCAATACTGTGCAGTATACACATTTTTGTAAGGAATCCTCCCTTAATTTTTTGTTTGCTGTTTTTACTAATCTATGCATTTTACGCACATTCTCCCCTAATATGCATATCCTCTAATATGCACAATATATTTTTAATGGCACTTTCTGAAATGGAGAGAGGGTGCAATGGCTGAATGAGCTACGGGGCTGGGCAAAGCTTATTGGGAGGGTGAGATGATTAGGATGGCTGGCGGGGAAGGATGACAGGCCATGTGACAAATCTCTCAACATCAGTTTCTCATTGTTCCAGCCTTAAATTCAGTTCTCCACATTTCCACATTGGTTTGCAAATATATATATTTTTAAGTCCTCCTGAAAATTCACCAACATTTTAGAACACATTTCTCCTAATATGCACTATTTTCTATGCAATTTTGTCCAACATAATATTTTTGTAAGCAAATCCCACTCACATGTAATTTCAATGCTATTTTCACGAATGTATGTATTCTTCTGACCACTATCCCTTAATTCAGACATTTGAGGGGAGAATTGGAGGAGTGTACACAAAATTGAAAGGAGTCTGAATGTCAGAAGTTGGGTGTGCTTCAAGTTGAGTCGTGTTTGCATTAGAACGTGAACTGAAACACATTTTCTCTTCCTCCCAGAAAATCTAATTCCCATTAGCCCCAGCCAACATGACCAATAGTCAGGGGTGATGGGCAGTTGCAGGGAGATCTGCACATTGAAAGCACATGACTTCCCCCAAAGAATTATGGGAACTGTGGTTTGCACCCTCACAGAGCTGCAGATTCCCAGTGATCTTAACAGACTATACTTCCCATGATTCCCCTGACCTGGATCAAAGTATTTTGTGCACAACTCTGAACAGCTGCTATACTATACCCAAGTTGTTCAAAGTCTCCACTTGGTCGTATTGCAAAACGAGCAAAAGTTTTGAAGGTTTCTCCAGCATACAGCTCCTCAACTCCCCCCGCATCTCTGCCAGTCCCATTTGTGCTTAAGAAATGCACCAGACTCCACAAAACATCCATGATTAAATAAAACTTCCTGTGATTGAATCTGACTGCTATTTTACAATATTAATGCTAATGGACGATCACAGTCTTGTTTGCATGTTTTAACTTCAGTTGCCATACAAAGTTGCTGTACACAGGATCAGATGATGAAAGGATTTAGGGTGAAGCGGGGGGGGGAGTTTGGAGAAACCCTCAACAACGCACCATGTGTCAAAAGAAAAAGAAGGGAGTCAGGGAGGAGGAAAGCAGATTGGAATATCTACAAGTCCAGCGATATAATTAGTTTCTAATGTTAGGTTAGGAAATAAGGAAATCAAAAGAAAGAAGGGGTGGACACAACGATGGAGAGGGGAAAGGAGATGCTTCAGAGTGGCAACAAAGGGAGAAATGCTTTTAAGAAAACAGCAGAATTAAAACAGGAGTAAGATATGTAAAATAGATGAACGACGGCAGCATCCTCCTGCACCGAGGGAGCTGTTTCAGGAGAAACACTGTCCGTTTGTGGCCAGCGAGAATACTTTCCATTCAATAGCGTTTGCAGCTTGCTGATTCATATGATTGCCGGCCGGCGCCCTGCTGGCGAGCCCCCTCCATTGAAATTAAATCCACTCTCTTCAGTTATAAATTATAATGCTCTATAAACAACACTCCCAGTGGGAACGGGGGCAGGGGGGGGGGAGAGATGCAGAGAGAGAGAGAGAGAGAGAGAGAGAGAGAGAGAGAGAGCTCTTCATAGTCTTCTTGCTGTTCCTTATGCTGTGCTCTTTGGTCACAAATAAGACCCACTTGGCTGTCACAGAGAGGATTTCTGGCTGTAATTTATATACTGTTTGATGTTTGGAGCCTTTGGAAGGGAACAGAAAGGTTGGATCACAACACAAACCCTAGCGGGGTGGGTGGGTGGAAGGCAGAGTGGGGGGGTGGACTTGGACATGAGTGTTCAAGGAAACGGAAAGAAAGAATATGTTTCATCCACATATTTTTGAAACAGATCATCAGGCACATCTTTGGGGGCCTGCCCTTGGGACTACCTGTCCGTCCGTCCGTCCCCCCCAAAAATCTGGAACCACTATTACACAACAGGATCCCCCAAGCACACTTTTACTGGGAAGTCAATGGCAGCAGAGTGAAGGGAACCTCACTTCCACATCAGTGTGGTGACTAGAGAGTGTTGGGATAAGACTGGGGAGGGTTTGGCCACAAAGCTTGCTGGGTGGACTATGGGCCAGCCATTCTCTCTAAGCCTGATCCCCCCCTCACAAAAGGGTAGTTGTGCTGCCTTATACCAAGTAGGACCATTGATCCATCTAGCTCAGAACTGTCTACACTGATTGGAAGCATCTCACTAAGGTTTCAGGTGGGGTGTTTCTCCCAGTCCTACCTGGAGATGCTGAGGAGTGAACATGGGACCTTCTGCATGCAAAGCAGATGCTCCACCACGGAGCTATGGTCCTTCTCCAAATCCCCAAATTCCATTGGATGATGGGTTGGGCTCCAGGGTATTTTTTTGTTTTGTTTTCTATATTAGCATTTACACCACTCCAGTTGGCTTACATACATTTCCTCATAATCTTTGCAAGAACTCCATTTAGGACAAGATGCTATTACTCTCTCTGTTATAGATGGATCAGCCCAATATTGTTGGGTAGGACACAAAGGAGCACCTTCTTTTGCAGAGTTAGTCAATCACCCTGCAGAATGCACCCCCTCACGATAACTTAGGCCACTTCCAGCCCATCAGTATTTTACAGAAGGGATTCAATCACACAACAGAAATTTAAGTTTGCTCAAATAGGCTATGGTTCAATCCTGCAATGAAGTTCTTTGAAATTCTGTACAGGTTTGTAGCAGGAAAAGGTCAGGGGCCCTAACATTTCAGACGAATGCAACAAACACATATGTAAAATCTCAAGTCATTTGAAGCTGCCCTTCAGAAGGGAGAAGGGAGAAGGGAGAAGGGAGAAGGGAGAAGGGAGAAGGGAGAAAGAAAGAAAGAAAGAAAGAAAGAAAGAAAGAAAGAAAGAAAGATTCAGAGAGGACACACACTTGCCATTGTAATAAAATTTAACATGTAACTTAAAAATAAATTAAATAAAGGAAACATTAAAAGATAAATGGAACAGGATGCTCTATGGCTGTGGTAATTTGAGTGGAAAGGAAAAGGGAATGGAGGAGAAAGGGAAGGAGTGGGTTTACATTAATAAATGATTAAAGGCCTTAACAAGGGGCTATCGGGTTGAACAGTGGAGCACACACGCCTCTCCACCTTTTCCCCTTCGGAGCAGCTTTTTCGCATTAGTTCACAAGGCCGATCAATATGGTTTTCATTTGCCGATTTCCATAACGCCATCTGGGATCGGCTCACCCGACCTAATGAAAGCAGGAGGCAAGCCGGAGTCATCGAAACGTTTGCGCGCGCTCGTCTGTCGCCAGCAAATAAATTCTGACGGGCGAGGCTGCAGTTTCCTCGTGCGCAGGGAGCAATCCCCCCCCCGCCTCTAAAAAGCAAATGCACAGACAAAGCAAGACTTACCTGTGCATCCTGCCCCTGAAGAAAGCAGGGAGGCTGGAAGCAGCAAAGCTGCTGCTCTTTTCAGGAAGCAATTCTGAGAAGAGGTTTGTTCAGACTCCAAGGAGTAGCTGGGGGTATTTGCAGTGGGTGGACATGTACACTGCAAGTACCACGGAGGGTTTCTCATCAGTGAGGACCGAGTCATCCCTCTCAGGGATGGAGGCGAGTGTTGGGCAGATCTGTCAATTTTGGTTTCTCTCAGTTTTTCGTTTTTCCAACCTTAAATTCACTTCTCCACATTTCCACATCAGATTGTGATTATTATTATTTTCTTTTTAAAAAATGCTTAATCATTAGCATTTTAGTGCAAACTTCTCCTAATAGACACATTTTTGTATGCAATTTTGCCTAGTGAACACAGTTTTGCAAAAGGATTTCCCCAATGTAATGCTTTTTGTGTTATTTTAACCAATATATGCATTCACATGTACACTTTACCCTAGTATATGCGGTTTTTTTGCACACATTACTTGGCTGGATAACTGCATTGCAAAATTCAGAGAAGTGTGAATTTCGAAGGATGGCTGTTCTGGTTCATGTATTGTTTCAGAAAGTGTTAATTAGACTTGTGAATTGAATCACATGGCTTGGGCATGGATAGAAAGGCCTTTGAGAGCTGGTGCAGTGGAATGCCCAGTGTATTAGCCTATGGCAGGGAGGTCCACATTCAAATGCCAAATGAGTCCCAAAGCTTCTTGATTGACCCTGTGTCAGCAGTCACTCTCTCTCATCTAGAGGGTTGGTATGAGAGCAAAATGGTAGCAGTGGTGGTTGGAACAGAGAACTATGCTCTTCAGAGGAAAGTTGGGATGTAAATCTATTAAATTAATTTATAATTATTCCCCCCACCAACCTATACTTACGTGAAAGACTGCCTTGCCCATATATGGTTGCCCAACCAAAAAGCACTATTAAAGGTGCCATCGGATGCTTGCCTTGCTTCTACGAAACTGAGTGTGCCTGTGCCAAGGCTGTGGAACTCCTTGTAGATTACTCTTAAGCAAGCACTGCTTACTTAAGATACCTGTTTAAAACTCTTCTGCTTACACAGACCTTTTTTTGATAAATAGCTTAACCCTCAGTTAGGGTGGTAACACTGTCCCAACATGGTTTGTGTAGCGTTATTTACCTAATTGGTTTGGGTGGAATATAAGCCTATAAAACAAACAAGTAAGAGATCCTGATCCCAAAACTGGCTCAAGGTTTAAAAGTACTAACCAGGACCCATAAGCATCTTCAGCTCATAAGATGAGTGAGTAGTCAGCGGAACTGGAGTGATAATGGAGTCACATGTCCTATCTGTCTATATTGGTCAATGTCAGAGGCAGGGAGGCTGTGGCCCTTCAGATCAGTGTTCTTCAACCTTGGATCCCCAGATGGTGTTGAACTACAATTCCCATCACCCCCAGACAGCTTAGCCAAAGGTCTGGGGTGATGGGGGTCACAGACCAGCAACGTCTGGGGATCTGATATTGAAAAACACTGCTCTAGATGTCGCTGGACATCCTATGAGCTCCACCCAGCATTACCAACATTGATGAAAGGAGCTGTAGTCCAACTACATGTTCTTCAGTCCTGGTATAGATATATTCCCTACCGAAATTGGTTACACTCTTTAATTGGCTCAAGACCTTTGGAAAACGCAGGATCTGCAAAACTGTCGTGGTGATGTGAAGAGTTTGCAAGTGTAACCTTGAGTTGCTTTTAGTCTGGGTGGTACTCCCTGTCACACAGAGGCACAAGTGTGAAGGGATATACATCTATTTCTCCCTCTTCTATGTGAATCCATGAGCAAGTGGGTGTGCACTAGACTCTAGCATTCTGCTTATAGATGTTGCCTGAAAGGTCTGCCAGCAAGTGAAGGTTAGTTCTGGCTAGGATGTGAAGTGGTCTGTCCTGACCTGCATTTGTTGCAATCAGCTGTTTCTGTTCTGCTGCAGTTCGGCTTCCACTAAAAACTACATTGTTCATCTCACTATCCACTACAGTGAAAACTAATGTAATTAATTTCAATGCATTTCAATGGAAGGGAAGCATCAAAAACAATGCAGGAAGCAACACAATTATTTACATTATGCTTGTGGACTAATCCCCACCCCCCAGCAATAGTAAATACTGCTCATATTCATTTACATGATTTCTGTTCCTGGTTTCCAACAAGCATGTGAATTGCAGCAATTTCTGCTGCCATTTCAGTTTCTGATGGAATTCTTTGACATTCCTAGTCCCTACAAAAATGTATGTGCATTTGACTCTGAATGAACCCTTTTCAAAGGTAATAAGAGGAAAGAGGGCTTAGCTTTCCAGTGGTGAAGTGAATGAGTCTTAGCCCGTTCCACATTCACAGCACTCCAGCCAAGAGAGTCACAGATTCTCCCCCCCCCCCCGCATATGAATTCAGGAGAATTCTTCCCTTCCTGCAGGCCACATCAGCAGAGGATGAATTCTGGAGATCTTCCATGAATTCCTTCTGCTTCAGTTGCCTCCTGGTGTTGCAAGAAACTCATATAAAAAGCCTTTACAATTTAATGAATGGTTTGTCTCCCGGGGCAGGTGTGGAGAATAAAAAGACGGGTCACACAAGGTACCTACGAATGCTGTTCAAAACAAAAACAAAACAAAACACCTCCACATGCCCACTTTTGATTGGCTTGGAATTAGCCTCAAGGGCTATAAAGGAGATGATGATTTTATTTGCATTAGGTAAGAATGGGGGAGATGGGACACCAGCTATGAATGAAAAGGAGCTACTTGTTAGATATTAGATATCAGCTATTACAAAATGATCAAGAGGCACGGTGCTTTAGTAGAGTAGGAATGGGGAACCTGTGGCTCTCTGGATGTTATTGGACTTCATCTCCCAGCACCCCTAACCACTGGCCATAGCTAGTTGGGGCTGATGGGAGTTGGAGTTCAAAGGGCTACAGGTTCCCCATCCTTGGAGAAGAGTGTTGGGCTACCACTGGCAAGACTCAGGCTCAAATCTCCACTCATATAACTGCTAAGCCAGGGGAGGAGGAACTCCGAATGTGCCCCTCCAGGTCTCTCTATCTAGCCCTCAAGACTCTTTCCAGGCCATATTACCACCCCAGCCACAGCTCCTTTTGTGGTTTAAGTGGTATATAAACCTTGCGAAAGGGACGTGGGTGGCGCTGTGGGTTAAATCACAGAGCCTAGGACTTGCCGATCAGAAGGTCAGCAGTTCGAAAACCCGCGACGGGGTGAGCTCCCGTTGCTCGGTCCCTGCTCCTGCCAACCTAGCAGTTTGAAAGCACGTCAAAGTGCAAGTAGATAAGTAGGTACCGCTCCGGCGGGAAGGTAAACGGCATTTCCGTGTGCTGCTCTGGTTCGCCAGAAGCGGCTTAGTCATGCTGGCCACATGACCCAGAAGCTGTACGCCGGCTCCCTCGGCCAATAAAGCGAGATGAGCGCCACAACCCCAGAGTCAGTCACGACTGGACCTAATGGTCAGGGGTCCCTTTACCTTTACCTTAAACCTTGTGAAATAAATAAATAAATAGATCAGTAGTGTCATACACTGGGAGAAAGTAGCAAATTCAGTTATAATTGTCTATTTAAGGGGGCTGAATAGGCTTGTGGATGTGCTGAGGTGCAAAATAAAGGGTATGCTTAGTTCATACACATGGCCATGATACCAGGCTAGTTTTCTTTCCCCGCCACCCAATGAAAAACACAGAACAACCTCTCTCTTTTTTTGAAGTCCAAGTCGACTTCGACAAAAAGCTTTTTCCTTTTTTAAAAAACCTCAGCTGACAAATCCTGATTATGTTCAGGAGGATAACAGAGGAGACACAACGCTGGACTGCCGTCTGGCTGGGCCCCACCTGACTATAAGCATCAGTATTTCTTAGACAGCTTGGATTTTCAAATTATTTCAAAAATTTGGCTGAACTCAGCCAATATATAATAGGCGACTCATCAAGTCTGCGGCACGGAGACCTCGCCAGTAAGCTTGAAGCAGAGTGATAGTCCATGTTTATTAGGCTTCTGAGCAAGACGTCTTCCTGTAACAAGGGAAGATTCGGGCTTAAGCGAAAAAACAGGCTGCACTCCCCACCCCCTCCCTAAGTCTTGGGAATTGTGTGAAGGACACATTTACAGGGGAATTTAGGGAACAGTAGAGCTTTGTGGGTATTGCAGCGGACAAAATGGGGGAGGCGGATGCCTTCTAAAAAGAGGCAAATGCCACGCTCTTTGGAAGAAGATATTAAAAATTATTTCTCTTTCAATTACCGCTTGGAAACCAAAGTCACTTAAATCTGTTAAATGGATATAAATAATGCCAATTCCTCCCCCCCTTCTAACAGCATGGAAGGAACTGTGGTTTAGAAGGAGGGACCAGGAAAAGGATTGCAGTTAAGTGCTGTGGTGGCAAAGTATCAGTAAAAGCCATTTCGGGCTGGCTAACAGAAATATTGTATGAAAGAGATTTTTTTTTGGGGGGGGTGTAGCACTGAAAAGTTTCTCAGGTTCTCTCTGGCCTCAGCTAGGGGCCTGGTGGAAGCTGTGCTTGAAAAAACAGCAGAGGAGTCTCTTCAGGCTGTCACCCTGAAGCACATGCTTTTGTGCACTTAAATCTGACTAAAGTGCTTCGCCATCCTATCACAACAAACCAAGGACCAGCAGAGAGAATATTTTCTGCCTAGTTTGAAAGCTTTCCCTCCTAGCTCCACACCTATGACAATCAGGTTGAGGAATCAGGCACGGGCACGCAGTTTCTCCTGCCTCACAAGATGCCACCTCCACCTCCTTGAAGCGCCGTTAGGCTCCACCCTGACTAGCCAACCTTAGCTCCCAAGATCTCCTTCTCGAACCTTATGAGACCTGGCAGCCCTGCGTCTCCAGGCTTGCAGACTGCGGGGTGTTGCCAATGTTTCCCAATCAGAAAGCAGATAAAGGTGTTCTGCACTGGCCCTTTGGCCGTGGACACAGATTGCGTGCCAGGGTTGCACCCACATCTATGGGATCCGTTTCTCCTAGCAGCTCCAAAACGTATCCACTGATCTGGACAAACTTCTTCCTCCAGTCTGGCCAAGAGCCACTTTCATGCCTATAACCAAATAAGAGTCACCTACATGTCAGCAAGGTAAGGTTTTGCTTTGAGGTGGGTGTTTTGTTTTGTTTTTGCATTGGTGAGCACAGGCATGTCAGCTAGCAACCTGGCTTGTAGGCGAGTAATTTCAGCGAACTTATTTAGAAGCAGTGAAACAGAACATTCTGAGAGAGGGCGGGGTGGCGGTGGAGGTAACCCAACTGCCAGTGGCAAAGATGCAGGAAGTGCCACTGAGCTTTAAACTCCTGTTTGGGGGCTGCTTTTATTTACTCAGATTCATAAATCAGAGCTGGGGAAGTTGGAAGATCAGAAGGGAGAGGGAGAGAGGCTCCAGTAATTGCCTTTTCTTCTGTAGGAGTAGCATACAGCAAAACAGAAAAAATTAAAAATTAAAACACAGAAGCAGTAAGCAATCATTTGGGCCAATCAATAGGTTCCTATGAACTTCGTGGCCAATTACAGGATGATTGGCTAAGCAAACAAAGAATTATTGGCTGCTTATTTGGGCTTCCCTGCCCCCTCCCTGCCCCAGGCCAGCCCTGCCCCTGTTTCTCATTCTGCGACAGGGTTTGGAGCAAGGGGGTGGTGGTTGGCCCTCTTTCTCCCATTAAAAAATATGCAAACACCTGATATTGATCTGAGCGGCTGCAAGCTGTACAGTCTTGTTAAATTGCTACCACCTTTTCCACAAGCACTTTTGGCAATTAACCTCATGGCCAGCCACTTCAAAGGGAAACAACTGTTGAGTTTAACCTCCTCGAGCTAACCAGAGATTCCTTTCGGATTTTCCATCAAACACTTTTATCCTTCTTATATATGAATATGAGAGAGAGGCAGAGAAAATGCAGGCTGATAAAAAGAATTGTGGCTATATTTTTGCGTGAATTCACCAGGAAGACAAATACCCCAGAAACTGCTCCTGCTCATGCTCTCTACCCCACCCTGGCCCTTGGAACGAGAAGTGGGATGGGACAAACACAAAATGGCAGTGCTCTCTTTCATTCTCTACTCCTTGAACATGTGTTCTCTTCAACTTGTCCTGAAATCCCTGTGTTTGCTGGAATCCAACCATCTGAAACCCGCCCCCCCCCTGCAAATCTCTCATATGGTTCTCCAAATCATCTAAAGGCTCCGGATAAATAAATAAAAAATCATGTAAAATTAAGGCAAACAAGTAGAAGGCCTGTGTGTGTGTGTGTGTGTGTGTGTGTGTGTGAGAGAGAGAGAGAGAGAGAGAGAGAGAAACCTACCAACTCCCATTGCAAACGTTTTAAAAATGACATAGACTTTGCACCCAGCAGTGAAACAACAGGGACAACCAATCCACACTGAGAGTGGTATTTGGTTGGAAGCTGAACGTTTGAAGATCCAGGCAGATAAAATAGAATGGTTCTTCACAGAGTGCATAGTTAAACTATAGAGCTCACCCCTACAGGAGGCAGTGGTGGTCACCAATGTGGATGGCTTTAAAAGGGGATTGGACAAATTCATGGAAGAAAAGGCGATCAATGGCTACTAGCCACAATGACTATGCTCGGCCTCCGTGGTCAGAGGCAGCAATGCATGTGAATACAAGTTGCTGGAAAGGAGGGGAGAATGTGCTTATGCCCGAGGCCTCCTTGCAGGATTCCCACAGGTATCTGGGTGACCAGGTGGGCCACTGGCCTGATCCAGCAGGACTCTTCTGGTCTCTATCATTTCTTCTTTCTTTCC